GTAATTTAACAGCCAGGGGCTTTTTTATTCCAAAAGTTTAAAAAGTTTTCTTAAACAAACAAGTAAAAAACTCAGTAACCCCCCCAAAAATAAAACCACACTCACTCACCCCACTGTCATTGCTACAAGAACATTAGCATCCCTTTTCTTGAATTGGAACGGCTTACTTTAAGCTGTAGCAAGCATTGTTTCTCTCAGTCATCCCTGAACAAACAGCTGATGAGAAGCAGCTGCAATGCTTGCATGAAAGCATTCTCAGTCTGGTTTCATCACCCACAACTGCTGTACCTTATACTACATGGTCCTACCACTAGCATTAACAGAACTGTGCAGTGAGGAGAATTTAGCAAGCAGGAATTATCAATCCTCCACATACAGTAGTTAATGCCAGTTACATTTTAATTGTGAAGTTATTTTGTGTAAGTCCTATGCAAATTGTTACCTCATCTTCTGCAAAGTTTATACCTCAATAAAATGCCTTGATATGGACAGAAAAGCATGTGCGTACTGGAATCAATTCCTACATTATCATTACATTTTTAAAAATTATTGTTAAGATTTTGTCTAACAGGGGTTAAGGCATTAACTATACAACTGCTTTGTGCATCTGTCAGTGATTTAACAGCTGGTTTTATTAATGACTTCTGCTATCTTTTCTGTTTCTGAAAGATGCCATATAGCAAGCACATAGCAGCCTCAGATCTCAAACTTCTTGGTCTTGTACTCATCATAATTAAGTGTGCAAAACAATTCAAGTGTTGGTTTGGGGAATTTTTTGATTGGTTGGCTTTTTTGTGGTTTTGTTTTTGATTTTTTTTTTCTTTTTTTAGCCAAAAGACGTGCTGAAGTGAGTGATCTGGCAAATGCACTTGTTATGGCTGTTTAGTCTTTCAAATACTTTGCTGTCCTTGCTGGTGAGGAAATGAACGTAATTTAAACACTTTTTTCTACTTACAGGTTGTTCAGAAAATTTGCCTTTCAGGTTTCTGATACTTTTTTTCTCCAAGCACATCTCTTAGGAGATCCATAGGGGTTGTCAGAGACTCAAGCATTAATGGAAGAGTGTCTTTGGACATGTAGAGAGCAACTTGGGTGTGAGAGTTTATTAGTCTCAATCATCGCTATTAAGCACATATTCAAGTCCCTTAGGTGGAATCTTACCCTGCCATCTTGACTAGGAAGATTGCTTAGGCTGTGCTTCCAACTATTCCCCTGCATTGCAGCAAATATTGCCAAGTCTCAAGTCTTTCTCTGAAATACATCATTAGCTTTGCAAAAGCACATCAAATTTTCTTCCCATTGCTGCTCTTGGGTAGAACAAGAGAAGGGGAGGAGAAAGAGTTCTAGTCCTCTGAATCAAGGCAGTGGGGAGAGCAGAGATGATTAGTGCAGTCCACCACAAGGATGAGCTAATTCAGGTGCACTTCTCCACAGCTGCTAGTTCAGGTAGTAAGTAGCTCCGCCCCCTTTAACCAGATTAAGGCTGTTGGCTTCCTTTGCCATAAGGGCACGTTACTGGCTCATGGACAGCTTCTACCCCAGGTCCTTCTCTGGGCAGCTGCTTCCCACCCAGCCTGTGATTCCTGCCCAGGAGCAGGAGTGGTGATTCCACTTGAAGAACTGCATGAGGCTCTTCATCTCATTTCCTAAGCCTGTCCTGCTCCCCTTGTGTGGCACTGCCCCCAGCTGGTTTACCAGCCACTCCTCCTGCTTTGTGTCATCTGCAAACTTGCTGAGAGATCAGCAGGCCAAAGTAGCCTCACGTTGAACTGAAAAATAGTAACAGTTTCCAGTCCCAGGTGGTAGTTTAATTTTGCATCCGGACAGCGCATGCATTTTCTCTAGTAGTAGGGAAGGCTTCTGTAGAGCCCTCTCCCATTTAAGGGATTCAGAGATTTAGCCTTACTGAAAGAAAAAAAAAATTGTAGTTTCAAAAACTGGGGACATAGGCACTTCCAAAACAACTAGGTAAAAGATTTACTGTTCATCTGAACTGCTGACTAGCCTACACAGCTTGTGTTTTTTATCTAGAGCCCTGTACCTATGTAAAAGAAGCAAGATGTAAGCATTGGTAGAAATGCAAAGCAAAGCTAAAATGAGTATGACTTTGAATTATAAGAGTTGGGTTCCTGTCATGGCAAAAACACAAGTCAAAAATGATAGAACAGTCACAGCAGAGTTGTCTGGTTTTTCTTTTACTTAAAAAATACTGAAACATTCAAAATTATGAAAACAGAAAAGCCTCTTAAATCTTTGCAGAAAAAAATAATTATGCATAAGTCTTAAAAAATTATAACCTGCTTCAAAGCATGCCATGCTTTTCTCAGGCTACACAGTCTTTATCTCTAAACACACCTTCGGGAAAGTGTTTGGACTGAGGAAAGTATACTGCCCACCTCTTGTGTGCCACCATTGTGGACAGCTGACTGATGTTCCACAGAAGGCCGAGTACCAATAGTGCATAATCCTGGGAAATGAATAACAATGAAAAGCCTCTTTTTTAAAAAAAAAAAGAAAATAGGATTTGGCAAAATTCCTCCATCTCCACAAATGCTAGCTGTAAAAGTCAAATTAACGAATTCCAGTTATGTTTACACATCCCATCATTAAGTTTCCATACCATCTTACTGTGTTATTGTACTGTTCTGAAATACAAATAGTTTTGATACACTGAAGCGAACATGACACAACCAAATAGACGCTGCAGCAGTTTTCTTGCTACCCCACATGCCCTATTTCATCCTTCTCTTTGAAATGTTTATACTCACCCAGCTGCATTTGTTCTACCCACCAGCCTGGTCTTACCCACATCTAAGAGGAGAAGCATAGTAGTTGAGTCTGAAATTAGGAACATTTTAGGCCATGCCTTCATCAAAAGGATGCATCACACAGGGTCAAGCTGTACCTGCTATAATGATGTGTCCCACAAGGTGTGTGTGTAAGAAAAACCCTACCAAGTAGCTTCTGAACTCTGGCTTCTAATAATTCCTATGAAAAGAATCACCATTTCTGGTGCTGCATGTAAAAGAAAAGATGACCCCACCTTCTGGGTATTTGAAAACAGACTTCAGCATCTGGCTCGAAAGTCTTTTAGTCCTGTCAAGTGACAAGAGAGCATGGCTCACATAGCAGACAGCACAGCAGGTAAGTTTGCTTGACTTACTGTTAACACTTACAGCAACAGGAAAAAGCTGCCTGAAGAGCATGAAAGCAATAGGAAATTCATTTATTTTAAGGAGGTAGAAGAAATAGGGCTTGCCTTTTATACTGCTGGGCTGGAGGATGCAGGAGGGCCAGCAGCACAGGACACTTGTATTCAGATACACCCAGTTAAATTTATTGGCAATAATCATCATGCTCTGCAAGTATTTTTCTGAGTAATTTCCACTGCAACTTGTTATACATGATTATCAGCCTACACATGTGAACTAACAAACAGCCAGCAATTTAAAAATTGAGGCCATAGTCCAAACTAGCTCTATTAGTCTGGGTCTATTATATTTGGGTTTAAAAAACCCAAAAAAGAACAAAGGGAAGAAAACACAACATTGATCTGAACAACCAAATGGATCTAAAGTAACCATGAGTGAAGTTAAGAAAGCCTTAAACTGTAGAAACAATACCAAGTCTCACTGAGCTACTACTAAACAGGTACCTTCCAGAGAGAAAAGTCTGGAAATTGCTGATAAGCAGGCAAGAACTGAAACAGATTTGTCTTGCTTGTTTGCAGCAGACTTAGTACAAAAAGAGGTGAGCTGGAAGCCAGCCAGGCTACAAGAACCTGCTCCTATCACGTCAAGAAGTGCAGAAGAGTATGGTCTTGTTAGCATAAATGAAAATAGCAGCAGCAATATACCCAGCAACCCCACTAACCAGATATTCTTTCAAGTGCCAGCTTTCACTTTGCAATGCACAAGCACCTACACTAGCCAGCGTTTCTTGGGAAGTTGGGACACACATAACCACACAGTCGCAGAAATTAAAATTCATTGCTGGGATGCCAAGATTCCCAAACAGCAACAGCAGAAATACACATTTCTGTATCCCATTTCATCCATTTCTGCACATTTAAACAGCACCAAGTTTAAACAATAATTGTAATTGGGGAAAAAAACCCATCAGTGTCTTATTACAGGCAGTACATGACACTGCTCCCTTCTAAATTGCAGCTCACATAATCAGGTTTGAAAGGACAAAAATGCAGCTTTTACCCAAAAACAGAGGAGAAAAGAACTGATACTTCTAAGTTAATATGAACTCTTCTATGGAGACAGACTGTGACTATAAAGGAGCAGGTGAAGTGTCCGTTTCCTAAGCACTTATGTTTAAGGCACTGTTACTGACCTATTACCAGAGCTGTCATTTTTATCACCAGTAACTACTGAAAATTTTAATATGCAAATAATGAGGTACAGGTACAGAATTGGAAGACATTGCATATAGGCCTGCAGAGCCATGGGATTTAGTTTACCTTTACAAATGAGATTCAACAGTCAGATTTCACTGCAGCAGGAAGACAGATAATGACTTTTTACATCATGAAAACATCAAATACTCCAGGTTATTCTGCCTGCATGAAGTACTCAAAAATAAATATTTTCCTTGTCCCCACCAATTGTGCAATCAAATGTGAACTTTAAAAAAACGGGAAATCACATGAAATTTGACTCTATGCAAGAGGGCAAGCCAATGGCAAAGATTATGTAGGCACATACACTGAAACTGAGTTGACTTCAGCTCAAAGCAGCATGTTGATGCCACCAGCAGCAGAGACCACCAGCTGCATTGGACATGTTCTAATACAGCTGAAGTCTAAAGACTGGCACACTCAAAATCTTGACCACACACCTTTACTGTAGTTGTCACATTTTGTCCTGTAAAGTGTTGATGACTTCTTGCCCTGTATTGCAGCACTGACAAGACTATTTAAACAAGCATGAAAGGCCAAGTTTCATATGAAGGGTAAGACAAGGTCCAGTTTCAAGACAAGAAATGGCAAATCAAGTTTGTAAAATATTTAATAGAGCAGTTTCCCAGTGGACTCCTGACCAGAATCATAACCAGACTTCTAAAAAGTATATATATTTTCAGATTTGAAAATTTATCTTTATTTTTTACAAAATGGATTCCAGGAAGTTTAAAAGGCAATATCATAGAGGACTGGGGTGCAGAAATCAGGTGTAGTCATTCAAAGCATTCAAGTAGGAATATGGTCATATAAATATTTGAAAAGCATCTTTTATCATAAATGTTCAGAACAAAATGTATAACTCATTCCAAACTGAAAATTGAGCTTTATAGCACATATTTCCCTGAACAGAAAAAAATTTTGAAGTATTTCTAAAGGCCTGAAAGCATTTTTTTTTTTTCCATGGTTAGTTACAATTAGAAGACTTGAAGACTTGCCTTAGCTTAAATTCCTTCCTTTCCAAATATGGAAAGTATTAACATCAGTCCACTGTTAAAACAGACAATGTGTTGCAAATTAATTCTGGTATAGTATGTTCCAAGAAAGCCTAGAGTATAAAGGTGCTGAGGTGGCTCCGAGTTAGTAGTCGTCGCCCCTGCTGACGACCTCCTTGCAGGTGGGGCGCAGCAGGATGGTGTGCTCAAACTGCGCCGTGTACGAGCCCTTGATGTCGCACAGGGGTGGGTACGGATCCACGATGCCCAGGTCGCACAGGTTCTTCAGCGCCATCAGGTATTTGCTCTCCCCCAGGCGATCCAGCCACCGGCGGCAGAAGGCAAGAGTACCAAAGTTTTCATTGATAACATTTAGCAAGTGTTTCGCTCTTGGAAGCCTTGAAATAAAAAAAAAAAACAAACAAGAATGCATTGGAGAAGAAATAGATATCACCAGCATGCATTCACTACAGAAGGAAAGCACACCAATTAAGAATAAGATTGCAAGGTCTTTTCAGATTTCCTAGACTTGGAAATGTCTTTCTACATCAATCATATGTTCTCTTTAGAAAATAAAATGCCCTCTTCTCCTGCAAATAGATAATCTTCAAAACAGATCGTGAACCTATCTGCAAGCCTACATTAAACATGGAGACGGGAATCTTTCTCTTAAAAAATAAAAGGACATTTCATTTCATAAAGAAAAACAGAATTCTTCCTGATCCAGAGTGATCAGTAATCTGAACTAATTTTGGCAGAAGCTTGGTGGTTTAAAATGCTGAGTTCTCACTTCTGTAGCCAAATACTCAGTAAGCTTTTTATTCATACTTAAAATATACAGGCATTAAAAATATATATTTATAGATCTACTAAGAACTAAGCTTATTTGCAGTCAAGCAGTTCCTTTGCAATCTTTAGTCTAATTCTTCCCATCATCTCTCACATTCCTAGTATGTGCTATGGAAAAGCACATATGCCTGCTGTTTCCCACCAGAGTATCTTTGTTTTAGGAAATAGGTTGCACTCCTTAGAAATGCCAAAATGCAAAGCCAGTGAACCTAAAAATGAGTAATTTCTTCATTTTACAGCAATGCAATAAAATACAAACTCAAAACTCTCAAAATATCATAAAGTAAAACAGTGCAAATACCGTAATAGATTCTGGGAACAGCAGTAAGACAAAAATTGTGGCACACGACCACAGAATAGCTATTGACTAAAAAACCCACTGTACATTTAACACACAGATGAACACACAAATATAATCTATATATTACTCATCATCATGAAATCATGAAAAAAATAATGGTAGGAAGACTGTTAAAAAACCAAAACAAAATTCTCAAAACATATTTTCTGTTTCTTGGAAATAATTCCGTATTGTTCCACATTAACAGAGTGTATTTTGTAACAGTTGCTAACACTGTCCTTTGAGTCCTCTGACAGTGCTATTAGTGAAGAACATGCATTATATCAAATTTGAATCCCAAGGGAGTGGTAGCTCTATCAAAATACACCAACAAAATCCAACCTTATTGGCACGTGCCCGACATCAAAATTCTTCATATAATGAGAACACTCCATATCATCATGAACAACACCTTTTCCTGTGCTACCAAAGGTTTCTATAGCATACACTTCACCTTCCTAAGGAAAGAAAAAAGGAACATGTTGCAATATGAAGATGTAACATTGTGTCATTCTGATACAACATCTCAGTATTACAACTTCTGAATACAAGTAATTAAATTTGAACCGATTCAATCACCAAATCAATGTAAAAAAAAATTCAGCTCAGAGATTTCACACATTAGAGTTGCAGTTATCTCCAAATCATCAACTATTTACATTAGTACCATTTTATTTCAATCCAGAAGCATCAGCATGTTTCTAGACACAATTTCTCGAAGTCCTTGCAGTTGAAACATTGTCAAGGCATATATCTAACACAGCTGAGAAACTACATTTGCTAACTGAAGTACTTCTCCTGTGCTATTTAGATAAAAGTCCTAGGAAATGTGTAGTTTAGAAGTAGCAAACTGGTGTTGATTACAGACACTGCACTGATGAACTTTCTGCCCAGTTTCTGCAAGAATTTTCTGAGAACAGGTGCTAGTATATACCTTTAACCTGCTCATTTCCATTCCACAAGATGAATTTCTTCAAGAAATGAAGATAATGTATATCTGCAGGGGCATTATCAAAATTCTAGCCAAGAACATACTGAAGTGCCATTATACAAACTCATTTCTGCCAAATGCATTCACACATCCTTAATAGTAGGACTGTGACAGGGACTTAACAAGCCAGGGCATCAAACACTGATGGACACTATGACTTGCATTGTTTATTTTATTAAGCTACTTTTAAAGTCACAAGCCCAAAATAAGAAGCCATATGAAAAGCAGTAACATGGGCTTCAAATTCAAGACAAACTCTTGAAGATATCCCTGAATATTCAACTGACTCATTAAAAAAGCACAAACCCTCAAAAACCCCCACGCAATGCTGCCACAAGATTCACTTAACACCCACTTTTTCTGAATAAGGATCATCAGAGGCTCTGTTAGTCACAAAAAACTCACTGGGTTGCAGTTTGATACTATAAATAGCACAGTACATTAAGACCTTGGCTATGCTCCACATTCTTCATTGCCAAACTCACTGTGTTTAACGATGTAGGATTGTGTCCTAAGTAACCTACAGAAGCTGAAGAAATTAAAAAATGTCTTCTCCCCAAAACCAAACCATTAACTAAGTCAAACTAAGAAGAACACACAAGCTTTTTTACCTTCCTTTTCCAATACTCTTAATCCCTTTGCAGCCTTATAGATAAGATGATAATTAAAGCTTTGTCTTTTTGTGCACATCATAGGTCAATAACTATGATACAAGTCTTGGGTGATGAGAGTGAGCCTACCTCAAAAAACAATCCTGTCCAGACCACACCTGTGCCTAATCAGGTCTTAAAAGTTTTATCTATCTTGATAGACTTACTGCTGATCATTAGTGATGAGGCTTAGGATGAAACTAAAAGCTTCTTGTCTCATCACCCAACTTTTAAATCTTATCTCATTAGAACAAGAGCTTCAGTGAAAATGATGGCTAAATCTCAGGTTCCACGTTTGAATACTGCCTTGCCAACTGGTACTTTGTCACATCATCTACAGCCATTGCCCTTCCCCTGCTCTAGAGCACTATCCAAACAACATCTTTCAACTAGCCTCTCACATTAACTACAAATACACTTAAGTTATTTTGCATCTTGTGAGAAAAACTGCATTGGAAGCTTTTCAAGAAAAATACTGTATCTAACAGTACTCACAAAAAGTCATCCAAAACTACACTACAAGAATTACTTGAGTGAGAGAAGATTTCATTACAGAAGAAACAAACATGAGTATGAATGACCTGCAAGTCATCCAGGAAAACTCTGATTTCCTGAATTCCAGTTGACCCCTAAATATAAATTCCTGTCCTTTTCCATGGTCCTAAATGCAAATTCAAACACACCATTTAATATCATACACACTGAGAAATAAATATGCAGGAATTTCAGTACGTATCATTATGGCATTCAGATTTCAACAGCAGTGGATTTCTCTTTTGATGACGTTTTTTGGTTTTTTGGTTGTTTTTTAAATAGCAGAGTTCTGAGGCTTCAATTTTCAGAAAGTGTGAGATAGCTGAACACTCCAGGGCTAAAATGAAGAAGCCACTGAGACAAAACTACTCCTGTACAGGATCATTAGACATTACAGCCATTACTCCACTACAATTATTCACCAGGATGACAGAAACTACAAATTGAAAGTGCACAGGAAATACTGTTCTTGCAATGATACTGGGGAAATTTAACAGAAAGAATAAAGAACTTGACTTACCTCCATTCTTGTGGCTTCTCCTCCTTTCACAATGGGGACTGTTTTTCCTGCATGTATCCTATATGGCCCAATGGAGTGTCCGTTCAAATTACGAATTGGCTTCACTTTGGAAGAAAACATTAATATTACAGGCAATTTCCTAGCAAATGGTAAACCCTTTAGGGCAATTTGGTTTGTTATACCATATAAAAAGTACAGTAGTAAGTCGTCATATTGCAGAGGAACCAAACGCAGAATTATCCACACATCTTGTACAAACACCAACCAAGACACAAGTTAGTTTTGTATGCTTTAGCAAGGCTTCATTATTTAAGAGCAGCAACTCCAAGAGTAATAAAAGCTTATTAATAAATCCAAATAGCAAGTAACAAATTATCTGCACAGTTCAAAATTGTTGTTTAGCATTCATCTTATCTGTTAAAGATACAATACTTAGAAGGATAAGCCAAGACCATTTCTCCAAAGGAAAGGCAAGCCAGCCATGAACATGTATCTATGCAAGACTCATACCACACTCCTAGCAGGAAAGTCTTTTCAATATCCTACATCAAAATCAATATTTGTACAAATCTATATACAGATACACACTTCTAAAACAACTACCCCTATATAAAGAAAATAACTTGCCTTGATATGTTTTGCCATCAATTTCAACTTCATAAGACTCCATAACTTCTTGTATGGCCTCTCCCACATCACAGAGACGCACATCTATTCCAGCACACTGAAAAATAAAGTGCAAATTTAAATGGAAAATAATCACAACATTTACTGAAAAAGACTCTGTAAATTACTTACATAATGGTCATACCTTTATTCCAGTATTTGTTGCATCCTTTACAGCTTGTAATAGTCTGTCATATTTTGGATTGAATGTGACTGTAAAAGCACAGTCAATAATACGACCTGAAATCAGCAGAAGTTGGTTAGCTTCATAGCATTTGCATTGAAGAACATTCTCAAAGTTTTAATTAATAAATGAAAACTAACCACTAATATGTGTTCCAAAATCTATTTTGCAAATATCATTGTATTGCAGGACTGTTGGATCTCCAGCATTGGGAGTGTAGTGGGCAGCACAATTATTCAGAGAACATCCCGTAGGAAATGCAAGACCTGCATTTAAACCATTTTCCTTTATCAGCTTACGTGAGCAGTCTTCTAGTTTTTCACTAAAATGCAGAGGGGAGGGAGAAGAAAAAAAAAAGAATAAGACAGTTGTGATTAGTATTTCTTATGATAATTTCAAATAAATCAATGCAAGAACAAAACCTCAGAAAAATATTAAAGGAAATGCTTTTATGTCAAATCAAACTATTTGTATGCTAAGTAGATTGACAACCCTAGGCTAGAAAACTTAGGCAGAATACAACAATTTTCAGTTCTTTGTGTTGTTTTCTCTACCCTTTCTTGGGAAAAGATGAATCCTCTATTGTTTTTAATCTAAGTTTAAAATATTTATCCTTACAAGCTACATTTAACCCATTCTTCCTGAGCAGCAGAAGTTAGACAACCAAAGTTCAGGCAAATTAAATGCATTCTTTACAATTACTGTGATTTAAAAGGAGGTGGGAAAAAGGAAGTAAAGCCTCTCCTTTATTAAAAAAAAACCAACAACTTTTCATTATTAAAGGACATTTTTAAAAAACTGAGTGATAACTATGATTAAATGAAACCTTGTGAGACTAGCATTTGTTTTTTGGTTTTGTCTAATCTCAAGATGCTAGCTACTGCAAATCCACAAATGTATGTCCATCAGTACATTCCCCTTAAGTGTCAGTGAATGAGGTAAACTGCTGCTCACTGCAGTGCACCAAACACTGATTTTAAGAAAGCAAGAGAAATATGAAAAAAAGAGAGCATATTTTAATCAGCAAGGCCCCACTGCATGAGGTACTTCAGGAAGAATAGTCATATTTTGAGAAAATGACTGCTCAGAGCAGTCAAACTGTGTAATTTGACAGATTTGTTTCAGCCAGACTAGTGAGCTGCTTTTCTTCTACATTTCCTCATGGTATATTATGTCTTTCTGTTATCCTTGCACAGTTACCTTGGGGATCAGCTCTCATTAGCTTTCTTACTATCCTACTCTTGTCAGCACAGTCCTCAGTCACACCAGGCTGAAAGCACCTGATTTTGGAAGCTAAACTGTTCTGGATAGGTGCAGTACTTGAACAGTAGACATTCAATCTAGACAAACTGAAGGACAGAAAAAGTAATAGTTGGAAGAGTCACAAAAATCAGTCTAGGCTAATTATTTCTTTAAACTTAATCAAATTTATGTTCACCTGAATCCATTTTCTCAGTTACTTCTTACTGAGAATAATAAAAAACCCCACTGTGTTTCCACCAGAAACATCAGTCAGTCAATGAAGACTAAACATAGTACAAACCTTCCTGCCCTGGACTGAATACACAGCCATGCTGGTTTTATGCCTCTTTGCTCAGTCCCAGGCACAGACTGCACCTGCACTGTCCACATGGCATTTCATGATAATTCTGGCAAGCAGCAGCAGTGCTACTGTTATTGCTGCTTCTCCAAGCAGCGCTGCAGAGTAGCAAAGGCACTGAAATCTAAATGAAGCATATAATCAAAGTAAGTGAACATCATGGAAAGCTTAGTTTAAAATTCCGTATAATCCCAGGCCCTGTAAAGCCGCATAAGCTAAAAATACAAGAGGAAACTTAAAGGAAATAATTGGCAACACTGGTTATATGTACTTCAAACACAAATCTCTCCAACACTCATTACACAGTGAATTCAGCACTTAAAACTAAGACTAAATCTCTTCCCCTCTGGAAAATGAAGAAAAATCTACAGTAGAGTCTTCCAGTAGATGTGTGTCCTCACCAGATTTCTATCATTGTCATTCCAGGTTTTATCCAGCTCATAACGTATTTCCTCACTTGTCTATGTGCCTCTGCAGCCTCCCGAAAATCATTCCAGATTTCCTCACTGGCTTGGTCTAGTGCTTTCTTTTCTTCACTAGTTGTTCTCCAAGCAGCAGTTCGCCTTGAAAATAAAGGAAATATTTCAAACAAGTTACTATAATCACAGCAGTCATTACAACTTCTGTCTAAAGCCTGCAAAGTGTTTATTAACCAGTCAGGTCTACATTCTCCTGTGTAATAGAAAAGATTCTGATTTATACAATTTTCAGAATAAAGGAAGGCTATTTAAAAAAAAGAAATCTATCAGTACTACACACTAGCAGCTGTGAAAGGCAGTAACATCCTACCAAAGGCCCAGACAAGCATGGTGCTCGAAGGATTACCAAGTTTTCAAAGAGACAGAACAGGCATATAAAATTCATATTAATGCCTGCAATTCCACCTTAAGTTTAGCAGGGCAAAAAACTGCAACAGGTTCTACTCATGCAAAAGTGGGGTTTTTTTTTCCCAATCTTATTCAATCAGACAGTGGTGCTCCTGTATAGAGATGAACCTCAGCGCTGCAGTGCTTGGCCCAGAAACCGCTGCTGACACAGACAATAAGCATCTTCAAAATTTAAAAGCTTGCAGTTCCAGTATTATTTTCATTCACACTCAGAATGCTTAGGTAATAACACCTAACACAATGCATGGTAACTATGACACATGCCAGAATGTTACTTTCTAAATGGGCTGGATGGTGAATTAACATTTTTTATGGGAGAGCACCACTCATTCTGTCTCTTTGGTAGGTTCATAGAATAAATACACAAATATCTTTTAATACAGGGCTTAGTGTAAGATTAGCTTTGAATATATTTTGCATTATTCAACTAAGGTTACATGAAAGCAAACAAACAAAAACGTAATTTAAGTCCTCCAACAACTGTCAGAACTTGGCTAGAAGACTACTCTGACTACAAAGTAGAGACAACCCTTCAAATGGTGAAGCTGCAACCACATAATAATGCAAAAAAGCCTAGTGATGTCTCAAAGAACTCCATACATGCTATGCAACACAAAAACTACTAATAACAATACACAGCTACACATGCTGGGCAGGTGATCTTAAAAAAAAATATGTGTGGTGGAAAAGACGGCCTAAAGATGCTAAAGTACACCGGTTTTCAAATTAAGAAATTAATGCAAATGAATTGATTCTAATCAAACAACTGAGTACCCAGAGTGTAAAGGATTAGTTTTTGAAATCCAAAGGTGTAGCTTTTTACCTGTTTCATAGACTTGTAACCTAGCTCCACTTTGAGTTTTCTTGACATCCAAAAAACAGGTACAAGTGAACCAAGAGACTATGCCCTGCAGTTTTGCTGCATTTTGAACTAAGAATAAATACTTGTATGTGAATTCATAAGTATATATATATGTTTATACTGAGTATTTCAAAAGAGTTGAAAATTTAAAGGAGGATAACAGGCAAATATTCCATATATCTTTGTCAGGATGATCAGAGGATGCAAAATATTTTGAGACCTTTTTGCTTGTTTTCATTGAACTTTCTGTTCCTTTTCAGATAAAAGTGCCATTTACATTTACCTTTCTAGCAGTTTTCTTGCTCTGGTAGCAAGTATCACACATACTACTCTTACAATTTGCCTCAATCTGGCAAATCCTACCAAAAAAAAGACAGCAATGGGCTGCAAAACCTGGTCCCCTGCACTGCCACTAGAAAATTGGACTTCTGCCAGCACAGTAGTCACTGAAGATGGAAAAGGTGCACTGCAGAAAAACACTGGGGACAGAGACTCAAGGATCCTTTCAGACTGTTCTGGATTCCAGCAGCGAACACCCCTTGCTAGCAAGAACTGCTGACAGAGTCTGGGCAGCTGCTCTGCCATCTGTCACGGACTTGAATGCAAACTCCAACAAACTGGCAGGAAGCCATCCTCACTCTGTCTTACTGTATTTCAGCATATAATCACCTCACACAAGTCAACTGGGGGACAGAACAGCCTCTACATGTAAGAACACTGTATCAGACCCAAAGCATTTTGCTGACAAAGCTGTACTGCCACCTGGGAGCTCAGGAAGGGAGGCAACAAGAATTCCTGCTAGGGCCTATGCACTTCAGGACACATGAAAAATCAGTTGGTCAGATGAAGGCTTTACACCAAACATCACATCCTCCACCAGGTACATAAGCTAACTAGCAAGCTTTTGGCAGTTTCTTAATGTGCTGCCTGCTATATGTCAGCTGAAGAAATTCAACTCTTGCTCCAAGCCATGTGGTCCAGCTTTTCACTCCAGTTCACAGCCTGCAGTTTTCACTGCAGGATCACATTGTAAACTAGATTCTAGTGATCAAAGAATTCTAGAAAATTTCCCCAACTATCTTCACCCAGATAATCCAGTCATGCTGGATGGTAGGTATTCCATCCAGAGGGACCATTACAGGCTTGAGAGGTGGGCCTGTGTGAACCTCATGAAGTTCAACAAGGCCAAGTGCAAGGTTCTGCATCCCGGGTCAGGACAACCTCACCACAAATACAGGCTGGGTGAAGAATGGATTGAGAGCAGCTCTGAGGAGAAGGATTTGGGGGTATTGGTGGACAAGAAGTTCCACATGACCCAGCAATGTCCACTCACAGCCCAGAAAGCCAAATCATACATGGGGGCTGCATCAAAAGCAGTGTGGCCAGCAGGTCAAGGAAGGTGATTCTGCCCCTCTACTCCATTCTTGTGAGACCTCAACCGGAATACTTCATTCAGCTCCGGGGCTCCCAACAAAAGAAAGATATGGAGCTCTTTCAGTGAGTGTAGAGGAGGGCCTGAAGATGATCATGGGTGTAGCACCACTCCTATGAAGAAAGGCTGAGAAGAGTTGGGGCTGTTCAGCCTGGAGAAGAGAAGGCTCTGGAGAGACCTTATAGCACCTTCCAGAAGCTGAAAGGGTTTTTCCAAAGTCACAGAATGGCAAGACAAGGGGTAATGGCTATGAACTGAAAGATGGTAGGTTTAGATTAGAAGCTAGGGAGAAATCCTTTACTGTGAGGGCATTGAGACACTGGAAGAGGTTGCCTGGAGAAGTTGTGGAAGGTGTCTCTGCCCATAGCAGGGAGGTTGGAACTAGCTGATCTTCAAGATATCTTCCAAAGCGAACCAGTCTGTGACTCTGTAACAGCACAGAGGCAGAAACAAGTAGGCAGGGTCAAGAATTCCTTAATTCTACTTTAACAAAATTGGTGTATCATGAAATACTGCTTATTTTCTGCCATCCCAGTTGTGTAATTTCAAATTCCCACGTCTTCAAGAAAAAACAAGCTTCCAAAAAAAAAAAAAAAGGAGATATAAAAACATTACACCTGTTAGTCTGTTGCCTATGGAAGTCCTGATAATCTGGTTTTTTTTTCCTGAAATTTGAATGACATCCATTTCTAGTTGAACTTCTCACACAAAATATACAGTTGTAGGTTGATGAGAGGTAACTTTAGAAAGCACATGACATCAACAGTTAAGAATAGAAGTGCAACGCTTAAAAAAATCAAAGACAAAACCCTACTGACCTCAGCATGAATAAGGCATGGCACAAAAATGCTCCACCAGTATATAAAATGAAGCTGTTACTCAGAATATGAAATATCCTGGCATTAATGCCAGCTAATAATTTAAGTAGTTGCTCATATTAGGGAATGCTAAAGTAGTAAGATTTAAATATTTAAATGAGGAAGAAAAATAAGCACATATTTGTTTAAGCACATGACATGAGGAGACTATTTCAGGTTCCTTAGAAGTGTATACTCTTCCTCCATAGCTGAACACTGCAGTACAGAAAAGACACCCCTGCTATGAGAGGAGGTTTGTTTTTATGGCTTTTGTTCTTTTCCTTTTCAATAAATAGTAGTTAAACCAGAGCAAATATTTTAATCTTCAATAGCTGAATATGTATTAGAGGTGTAAAGATCGTGTGTTATTAGTTAATAAACTATGTAAAAGATTAAGTTGTTTATTATCTAAGTTCCCAGTTTACTTAAATCATATTCTTATGAACACAGCACATGTTAAATACTTAAACATTAAAGAATCATTCCTGGATCAGCCTGTCAGAACTATCCTGTGCAAGCTCCTCATTAACATGCTGATCTTGAGCATGCAAACAGGGCAGTCTATTTATAAATAAACAGGAGTACACCTTGTGTTCAAACTGAAGTAATGAAAAAGAAGAAAAAGCTTCCTTAAAAGCAAATTTTCATCTCATAAAAATGAAACTGTATTATCTGAACACAATTTATAGGGGGTATTGGACTCTTACTTATTTTACTTACATTCTCTGAGAAACAGGCATTAAATTTAAATAACCAATAAAAAAAAATTCAAAATACTTTCATTCTGAAAAAAAAGTCACTGAAAACTAGACAATGTTTTCAGACAAATATTTACCTACTCCCTCCCTTTGGTTCAAACTATTTTTTGAGAACTTTGATTCAGTATTTCCTGGGAAGTTTCAAAGTTTTCAGTAATACTTGGTCTTTTCATTCAAGTTTGTATATAATTCAACCTAATTCTATGCCACGTATCCTGTGTCTCTGTAAAATATGACCTTCCACAACACTTCACATAGGAAAAGAAAAAAAAAAATAAAAAAAAATCAGGAAAACTCATTCAGGTTGGTATTCCCTAGTTTCTAACAATGCATGAAGAAATAGTAGTCTCCTGTAAAAACATAAGGGTGCAGACCTCTGTTCCAGTGAACCACTGGAAGCTATTGCTTGTTTAGTGCAACTGCACATTAGTCCCACATCACTATGAGTTACAAAAACAGGTGAGGTTACAATTCATTCTGAGAGAAGCAAAGTACAGAATATACCATGTAGGCCCTTAAATTAAATGAAGAAATTGACATGCCTCTACCAAAAAATAAGTAACAAAGTTGGCATCCCAATGGTCACAAAACTGCTGCATAATAGTGTCTCATCTCCCTGAATTTTAAACCTTCACTCACTTCTAATTCAGACAATGTTTTTATTACAAGCTGCCTCCTGGAAGTCTGTTAGTACCCTGGGTCTCAAGGGCCCCCTGCCTCATGGCAATTATGCTCATATGGGCTACATCTTAATTAAAAGGGAAAGACAAACATTTCTGGCCTGAAGACCTGTATTCATTGAGTTCCTGGATAATCCAGTTAAAGAAAAAGAGGGCAAAACCCAAAGTACATTACTAATTTTGGCCATTTAGTTGTACATTAATATTTTTTTCAGCACATCAAAATGAAAGCACTTACTTCTTAAGCTTAAAACACTCACCCATCTTGTGTTGGTGGATATTCACATTCTTCTCCCTTTGGGAATACGTTGCTGGGAAATAGCTCGCATATTGGAATAGAAGGTGGATCTGTCTGGACCTTAGCTGTTGAGTATCATTTAAGAAAGTGTTACACATGGGACTCTGGAAACACTAACCATCTTATTTCCACCATAAAAGTTAAACAGCAGAAGTTATTAAAGATCCCATTAACTGGAGTTTGGGTTTCTACCAAGACAACATTGTATCACAATGCCCTCATATGACTTTGTTTAGCCAATGCTCAAGGCCAATGAATGCCCTCAATGGCATTCAAGGATACCAGAAAGAAGACAATTTAGCCTACAAACACAAACTGCACCCCTAAATCTGTTTCAGCTGCAAGAACAGCACTTGCACACACTTAATGCCAAACATTCACATAAACTGTATTTTTGTGCTTGATACCTACGTCCTTTCTTCTTTTTCTTCTTCTTCTTCTTTTTCCCCGTTGCTCCATCTCCTTCACCCTCTCCATCTATAGGAAAGAAAGTGCTCAGCTGAACATAAAATAATCTTAAAAGAATGAAAGGAGTTTGAATAAAACACAAAAACATCTAGGCAATCTGAAAACACTTCATTACTGCAGAATTTAATGGATTAAAAAACAACCTCCAGAAGCTGCTGCCAAACCATCAGCATTTTCAGTCCCTACACCAAACAGAGACCTAATAAAATAGTTTTGAAAGCCAACAATGAATGTATCACCAAACAGAGGAAAAAAGAGAGTTCATGTAAAGTGTTTACAGAAAGTCAGTCCTACCTCATATTCATCTGTTCCCATTTCAGGCAACTAGATGCCCGGGAATTGTTGAAGGACACAAGAGAGAACTGTATTAGACACAACAGCTAACAAAAAGCTAGAAACTGCTACTTCCACCCCATCTTCTGATGCTTCAGCTAAAAGAACTTACTGCATCTGGAAAGATAAAGACCCCAAAGAAGTAAAGATGACAGCACTCTAGGCCAGGATAAGTTTAATCTTGAGATAACAGGGAAGGTCACAAACAACACTCAGCAAAACCACTGAATATGGGAGATACAAGGGTGGTCAGAGACTAAAACAGGCTTCCCAGAGAGGCAGAAGACACCTAGTCTCTGGAAATAGGGTCAGCCTGAATGGGGTTTTGAGCAATGTGATCTAGCTGAAGACGTCCCAGCTCACTGCAGAGGCTGGGACCAGATGACCTTTAAAGGTCCCTTCCAACCCAAAACATTCTATGAATCCAATACCAATGGGAGGTTCCAGGGAGCACAGCAGGTAAGCGGCAACAATCAGCCACATCATTTAAAGTCACATCTGGGAGGTAATAACAACCCTGCAGGCTTCACATTTGGCTACGTCTGATGCCTACTTACTTCATACTCAATATCTCAGGTGCTATCAGCTACCTAAACCTTCTGGTCCTTAAACACAAATTCTTTTCAAAGTAGACAAGTACTAGTCATCTACATGTAGAACATTTTCATATACAAGAGGAAGTAAAATTAAAAGAACTCCTAGAATCAAATCAAAGCATTCCATTTTGAGTGTGTTCATACAGAAGTCCGTATTTAAAAACAAGACCAAACCAAACACTGACCAGCCACTCCAGTCACTAGATTTCAAGCCTGCCATGATGGTCAGTCAATACCATCTGCAATTTTATGCCATGATGAGTGCTGTAATTCTGCAGCTGGGGCAAATTTCAGTAATGTCACTCCTGCCCCTCCCCAGCTCATTTTAGCATTAAGTATCTTAAATTAATTTTCTCTAAAAAATTACAAATAAAAATATTTTGTATCTATAATAAAGTTCCAACCTACCAGATTCTTCATCAATCTGTAGTTAATAGGCAACCAAAAATCCTTACCAGTACATGTAAATTTATTTAAAATGTAGTAACTTTGTCACATTTGTCTTGACCTTGAGCAGTGTCCAAACCATTCATAAAGAAATTAGACATACTCCAATTCACTCATCAAGTGATTTTTGGATTTTTTTTTAAAGGCCAGGCCTAAACTGAAGGGAAAAAACCGCAGCATTTCTTAAACATTGCTGCTGTTGCTATCTGTGTGTTGTAGCTTTTTCATACATCACTGCACGTGAAACTGCCAACGGCAAGCCAAACAAACCCTGTCTATGCTTTCATGTCCTTGAAGACTACTGCAGACTAACTGTGCTGCCAGAAACATAACTACTGCATCTGACTGATACTCTGCTTGTCTTCAGGTTATTCAGCTAAAGAAAAAAAAGGTGACCAAAAAGAGCAATTTCAGATTTTCACAAAACAGAAGTCCAACCTTATATCATTTTGGTATAGCCATTTAATAACTTAGCACAGTATCATGTAAAAATGTTACATATCAGTATATTTTAACATGGCAAGAGAAATAAAAAGTGCACTTCCTAATCTCTCCTAGAGTTCAGAAGTTATAGAGTCTCCTTTTTGAGGCCACTCAGTTACAGGCCTACCAAGAGGAAAAAAAAAGAAAAAAGGGACTAGATATTTTATTGATTTTCATCTAATGCAGCATGTCTTAAATAAACAATTAAGATGGCAAATAGTGAGAACCAGCACAGGCAAGAACATAGCTGTCTTCAAAAAAAACTTTAATTAGTTTTAATTTTCTGCAAAGTATCAGTTTTACTAAAAACACATCCAAGTCTAATACGTGAAAAAAGGGGAAAATTATTAATTCACTTAATTTTTTTATGCTTTCTAATACTGTAATACAATTGCTAATAGTGTAAAAAAGGTAAGACAGTACAGCATTTGATCTACAACTATCATTGTTATTTCTCCTGAGACAGAACTCTTAACTATTCTAATGATTTCTAAGATTTCTTTTCATTGTTTACAGTTTTCACTACCCTCCTCAATACTTCTTCCCCAAGTTGCAATGACGGCAAAGCACATATTGCATTAATTTCAACTCCATAACCTGAAAGATACCATAAAACAAACCATAAGAACACATTTCTATGTGAAGTACCTGCATTAAACTTGATGCTGCAGATTGGTAATGGTCAAAGATAAATTTGTTACTTAATATGTCTCAGCACTCTGAATTAATTTTTTAAAACTTCCATACCCAACTTATTAAAACGAAACTCTGGAAGGACAAATTCCAGCAAGTGAACTAAGATTTAAGCAGACTGCTCAAAGTGCTGAGCCAACTTTATATGGTAATTCAGAAAAATGAAACTAAATTACTATTTTAATATTTTCTTAAACACACATTTCTGTTGAGAACTATTCATCAAATCAAATGAAACACAGCACCCTTATCTGATACTCCTACAGAAAAGACAGACCTGGTCAGGATTTCAATACAGACACTTTCAAGGTTCTTCCTTAGAAAATCAACTACACAGCACAAGCAACACACAAAGCATTTGTCTTTCTTCATCTCCCCAAATTTAATTTTAATGAAAAATTGTAATTATAGATGAGCTGGTTTCAAGTCACCAGCAAAGACTCCAAAACCTATTTATTAAAATGCTCCCTTAAAATTTTCCCTATATGTTTTGGTTTAAGCCAAGAATAAGAGACATAATTTGGAACATAAATGTCTACTGACCATGTTAACACAAGTAAGAAAGATTTATAGCTTACCTTATCTCAAACTAAACATTTCCCTTCAGTAGGTCTTTGAAGACACAAACCTTTAATAAATCTTGTATTTCTTTTATTTTTTATACGTATGCCTCTGTGACAGCAAAATCATTGACAAAAAGTAGAAAGTATAGACAGCTGCACCTCACCTCTCCAAAAAGAAACCCAACCAAAATCAAACAAAGTAAGACACCTGTAAACAGTTTGTTAAGAGGGACCCTTGGAAGAAGGTGAAACTGGAAATGTTAAGAGAAAATATAAGTTATACTTGCCATCATCATCATCATCTTTTTCCTTCTCATCCAGTGCTTGCTTGTCCAATTGTCTTGCTACATCATCAAGAGCACCTTCCATTTCTTTATCAGTTTCCTGTCCTGTTTGTAAAGTTAAAGTACGACTTACAGTAAAACATTAACTCCACGTTAGTAACAATAGCCCCCAAAACTTTATAAAACGTTATGTTGTACTCATCCCACAGATACCTGAGCACCTAGTGTTTTTTTCTGTCTTAAAGCAGCCCCAAACTGTAAGGGGCTGTAACTGTACACACTGACACATCCGATTACTTTTTTCTGCCACGGTAGCTAATTCTTCTTCCCATAGCAGCAACCTGCTCTTGTGAGATAATATGGGCGTGAAGTAGATAATTATAAACGCACAGCACGATCATCGCTAACTGATGGCCTGCTAAAACAAACCCAAACCATCGCGCCTTTATGCTATTTGCCCAGACTTGCTCCAGCTCTCCCCGAGAACTTGGGAGGGGTGCAGAGCCGCCATCAGGCGGGATGACTTTTACAGCAGCAGTCTTACACCTTTCTCCCCCCGGGGCATAGGAGAGCTTGAGGGAAGCGGTGGCTTCTCTTACGCACAGCGGACCGAGGAAGACAACCCCAGCTCCAGCCGAACGGCAGCAGCATCCTCCGGGTACCGCCAGCCCCGTCCGAGCTGCAGGGATCCCCCTGAGCCCGCACCGCTGCCACGGGCCGGGACAGCGGCCTCGGTGGCGCCCCGCACCCGCACGCCGGGACCCTTGAGCCACCCACGCCCGCCCACCGCCGCTCCCGCTCCCCGGTGTGCCGGCCCGCGGCCCCTCACGCCGCCCAGCCCGTCAGCGCAGGGTCGCGGCGCGGCCCGGCCCCTACCCGTGGGGCCCGGTCTGCCCTTCTTCTTCTTCTTGCGTTTCTTCTTGGCGCCATCCTCGGCGCCCAGCCCGGCCGCGCCGTCCTTGTCGTCGGGCTCGGGGGGCAGCTCGCCGTTCAGGTGCTGCTCCCGCTCCTCCGCCCGCCCCACGCCCGCCATGTCGCCGCGGCCGCGCCGCCTCGCGCGCACGGAGCGAGCCGGAGACAGCGGCGGGGCCGGCGCCACGCTCTGTGGTGCGCGCGGGGCACGCCGGGACGGCGGAGGACTCGGCCGGGAGGGGGCGGGCCCTCGGCCGCGCACGCGCACTGCCGCCGGTGTGCGCGCGCGGGCCCGTGAGGGGGCGGCGGGGGCGCGGCCAGGGTAAGTGCGGTCTGCGGGATGCGATAAAAAAATGGAAAGAAGAAAAACAGCCCTTTCCGTCAGAAGGAACAGCTGCTACATTCCCTTACGGCATGTATGATTGTCGAGGTTTTACCATTTGAGGGCACTGAGGAAATGTAACTTACACGAGAGATAACTTGTGTACGGAAGGAAAATAATACCAAGGGGAAAAAAATCACTTGTTCCAAGTCTCATAGATCAAAAATGGGAAGATTCTAATACATGATAAAGGACACTGCCTTATTCCATTTCTACTACTACGTAGAAAACCAAGGCAAAATGCCAATATTACCAGCATCTACTAATGAAGTATTACTCAGCCCAGTCCTTAAAATTAATTTAATGAGTTTATACTTTTCACAGGTTTTCTACTAGTATAACCATGCTGGCTGAAAAATGCTTTTCCTCCTTGGTATATTTGAACACAACACAGTATAATGTAGTGCCATTATAATTGATAACATATAAAGGTTAAAAACGGGCCTTATGTTGCTTAGCTGTGCAGGCAGGTCTTTGGGAAAACTGGTAATGCCTTGTTCCTTACTGAGGTACCAATTCTGTCCCCTTGGCCCCACTGAGCCCGTCTGGTTCCACCTGCCCCTTCCCTGGCTCACACCCATGGGCATCTCCTCACTCCTGACTTGATACAATTCCCAGCAAGAAAAGGACTCAGAAAGACTAAGCTAATGCTCTAGTACTGATCAAAGTCCACCCTGCTCCAAACAAGTGTCACTGCAGCACGATATCCACTGCTCTCACACTGAGAATGCATGTGCACTAATGCTGCCTAGAACACTCTGGATTTATTGCTTTCTATTCTAGAAATAGAAATAAGGTAAAAGCAGAATCTACAGAGCAAATCTGGTTTGGGTTTGGGTTTTATTGTGGATGGTGGCAGGAGAAAGGGGGAGCATCAATGGCCAAATTCCCTGCATTCTCCCTTTTGGGTCATCTTACATCTTCCTGTTGTGTGTTTATTGAAGTTGGACAGTGTAATGGTCCCAGGATATCTGACAGCAGTGATTTTGTGGTTTACTTTATTCCATTAGCTTCTCATACATCAGACTGCTCTACCCCTTCTTCTAACCCCTCTAGTGCCTTTGACAGCTTGAAAAAGAGTGCTTGTGCTCCTGTTCCATTTCATCTGGTGTATGCCAAAATAGGTTGCCAGACCCTGGATTTTGTTGACTCTAGAGGTGAAGTGACAGATAAAGGAGTCCATAAAGTCTACAGAAGCACAGGAAAGACAGAAGGAGAGATACTAGCCAGAGATAGATTAAACAAGAATACATCTCATGCAGAAGCTGCAAATGTGAGATTGGGAAATGCATCAGAGGAAAAAAATTCACAAGCAGAATAAATATTTCTGTGATCAACTGAACTCACAAAGGCAGTTTTCTCAGAGCATTGTTTCTTTCCTCCCCAGAATGACTCTGGCACCATTCATAGTCACTGTGATACCCCAACAGAGGGGGAGAGATGGCTTGTGCCACATGGTTCAGCAGTTTGGCCTGTCTCTGTTTAGGTGGGAACATTTCTTTGAGCTGCTGTTGTCTACTCACATGATGATTTTTAGAAAGTGTGTCCAAGCATCATTATGTTTGGGTGTGTTATTCCACCAATTTTGTCTGAAAATGAACCTTCACATAAATCTCCTTTCTTAAAAAAAGTAGGCTGAAAGTAAATTGTGTCACACTTAACACAGAATATAATAAAGTCCAGCAGAGTGAAAGCAAACTGTGTGTGAGCTAGAAGAAGCAGGATTGAGTGAGCTAGAAGAAGAGGAAGAGTGTCTCTGCAGTTTGAGATGGTGTTATTGGACCAGGCTGTGTGCATCAGGCTCTCAGTGAAGAGGTCACATTGGACAAAGCAAAGTAAAGAATTTTCCAGGCTATGCTACTTCCAGGCCCAGAATTAGCACCATATATAATAGTGTGATAACCAATGTGCAAAAATAGGAATGCTCTGTAAAAAAAAATTGCAGAGTGGGAGAAAGAAGCTGGCCTGACTGCATTGACAAAACAAACATTAACATGAACAGGCCAACAACAGGTTCCATGTTCCCCATCTGGCTGCTTTTAAGATGATCCAAGCTCACAGGTGCAGAGAGAATGAGACACATCTTATAGAATGTCCTTACCAGCTCAGAGTTTTTTGTCCTCCTTCTATTATTGCCAGTCAGGGTTTATTACACATTATATTAATGGATGCTATTTTTCCCAATTTCATGCTGTACTAGACAACATGATAAAGTGAAAGTATCAGCAGGCCATAAGCCAGGAAAGACCTGTGAGTACCATTTTTAGCTGGAGGGTTTTTTTCTTATTATTCGTTTTTCTTAACCAACCTCCCGGACAAAGGCAGGCAGTGGCTGGGGAATTGAGGGAAGGGCTGAATGCAGTCCAAAACATCAGCAGGATTTAAAACACTTTCCTGAAAGACAACACAGAGAGTCACCTCCTCTTATTTTTCTTCTAAGGAGACTGTTCAAATTGCACTATTTTCCGAGCAAATGAAGTTATGATCTTCAGAAAAAGACTTTTTTTTAGGGTATGTTATGTTTTCTTTCATGTTTTCTTTTCAAAACATATGTGTCAAGAAATGGCATGGAATGGAGTGGGGGAGCTGTCTCCAACAGCTGTGGTTTAATCCTGGAAAGCGAGTGGGCAAGGACAACTAGGGAGTAAGTGGCCTATGTCAGCCCCCAGAAGAGTTGAACAGTGAGATGTTGTATTTGTTTCTGTTTGTATTTCTGAGCCTGATGCCATTATTTATGTGTTTATGACACTTTAATACTCTTTTTCCTAGCTTAGGGCCAAAACTCATAGTTCTTACTCAGCTGTAAAAATTCACCAAAGTTAATGGGAAAGTTTTTATGACTGGGGGTTTAATATTAGGCCTAAATGCTGGAATTAGACAAGGAAAATGTTTCCTGCATGAGAGCAAATATGTCTTATGAACTCTAGAAGGAAAGATATTCTCTGTCACCCATTGCTGAGGACAAAGGATCTTGTGCTTCTTCAGCCATCTCTAAAATTTTCTTATAACCTAGATGAAATAGCAAGGTCAGAGTGGCAAAACCAGACAAAAAAATTCACATTTAACTCTGTTCACTGTGGCCTTCTTTCCACATTCCTTAGTGATTGCTTTTTTTTTTTTTCTTTTTGCCGAACACCAGTTAGATTACAGCCTGTCAGCTGTAATCCAAACATACTGCCATGCCTCAGCTTGTGTCCCAGCATCTGTGTCCCTTGGAGGACAGGTTTCAAGGGATGTATGAGTGCTTCTGAAAAGAAGTAAATTTCATCTCTCTCAGTGGTGAAAGTCACCGTGAGAAGCACAGACTGCTGTGTGTGTACTCAGATTGGGACAAAGCAAATGCTTCTCAATTTGCATCAATAGATGCATGCTGTGAAATATAAAAGTCAGCTTATGGCCTTCTTTAGAGCTTCCTTTTCAACTTGCTTTTAAACTAGAAGATTCACATGAACAAAATAGTGTCTCAGGAAGACTCCTTATATTTCTGTGACAAGGAGCTATTGCATTAGGCAGGTATACAGAAACATACATTAGGACATGCTGCAGTGAGCATCTCCCTGACAGCATATCTCTGTGCCTGTGCCTAGTCTTGGTAAAGAATGAAAGGCTACAGATAGCCAAGGGTCCCTAGACTGCTGTTTTTGGTATTTATGATAAAGTAATAAAAACTATTTTTTATAATAAAAGCATCTTTCTTGATGTACTGAGTCATAACTGCAGATGGAAGCAGTCTTCTTTTTCACATAACTGAGACACTGTATAGCCTCAGAAATAGTTGTAGGTCATATCTCCTGAAAACCCTAGTTTAGAGTGGTATGAACCTAAAGTATCAGAAAGTTATATTTTGAACTGGAGATTTGTAATCAATTTTATATTATTTAATACACTGATGTATTAATGTATTCCCATTCACACAGTGGAAGTTCTTACCTGAAGAAAATTTTCAAGACCTCACACAGAAAGTAATTTCTCAGCTTCACTGTTAGGGTGAAAAGCACTAACAATTTCCTTTCCACAGCCTGCCAATGTAGCAACTTTCTTCTGGGTTGCTCCATTCCTTCTTCATTCTGGGGAAGTAATGGAAGTAGTGTTTACAGCTGCAGTGCTGGAGGCAGTACCTGTATATTTCTTTCACCAGGTATTTTCTTTTATATCCAGGCTAGTCTTCTATTTCACCTTCACACCTCCTCCAGTCTTAAATTGGAAACAGTCATTCATTTTGCTGTAGATGAAAACTAGAATGAAAGAGAAAGGCAAGAAACCAGAACTGTTCTTGTATTTCACTACAGATCTTCCCCCTGGCTTTACTGACACGTAATGGTGTGACACCATTAGTGGTGGGACCAAGGAAGTTTCTATCAACTGCTTTTTCAAGGAAGGCACAAAAATCACTCCCAAGGTAGATGTGGTCAGGACAGAGCCAGACAGACAGGGGAAGCACAGGGCCAGAACTGGCACTCTGCCATGCAGTGTGAGCAGAGAGAGAAAACTGGGAAGGTGAAAGTGTCCTATATCTAACCCTGCCTCCTTGAGCTGTGATACCTAATGTTCATTTCTGCTGTCAGCATTTTGTGATTTTAATATATTTAACTTAAAAACCTTGAACAGTTAGTTGTATAATGCCACATAATAGCTTTGTTCTACTGTTTTGGCTTGGACTGAACAATAGCACAGTGCTGGGTGTGGAGCTCTGTGGATTTAATGAAATTCATGTCTGCTGACTAATGTACTGGGAGCCAGTGTTCACAGCATTCTTCTGGGGTGTGACTCCC